AATTTTTAATTTGTGACCTATAAAACTTTTGATTTGTGTACAAGAAATAAGTTGTGACCAATAATTAATAAGTTGTAACCAAAAATTAATTTGTGACTAATTAATTAGATATTTTGTGACCATAAAATAAGTTGACTTTTAAAATTTGTAATTTGTGACCAATTAATAATATGTAACATATTAAGTCAATATACTTGTGATTGATTGATGAATAAATTGTGATTTAAAATTTTTTTTATTGCAAGCGAGAAATAATTTGTGACCAATTAATTTATAAGTTGTAATCAATTGTATAGACTTGTGATAAAATATATCTTTAATAAATTAGTTTATAAATAAAATTTAAAAAGAAAATTCTGATTTTTAAAATTTAAAACTTTGTTTTTTAAATGTGTCATACTTTATCTTTTATATATGAATTTTTCCGTACTTTATATTATTATAACTTTTTCTATTTTTATACATAAGGTGTTATTTATTTTTATATATGTTACTTTAGCATTACTTTTTTGAAAATTCTGTTTTTTTTTTAATTATATAGGGCTAGCCGATTTGACCTATATTTATTTGTTTTATGGACCAGACCCTTAAAAAAAGGGGTCGGCCTCCGTAATAGATAGGGCTGCATTTGCCTCTATATTGATAGTGTCAGTCCCTTGAAAAGCAAGTTGGCACGAGTCGAACTAAACTTAAGTGTGAACACATAGAGTGGACACCGCTACTTCTTAACTTGGACGTTGACTAAAACTTAGCCTATGTTTCACAATAATTATTTGGAAAAAATATTATTTTGAATATTAATTTTTTAAAAAAATGTGTAATTAAAAAAATAGGAATTTTTTTTTAATTTACATGCTTGATATTTTATTGTGTGAATAATGTATATAAAAAAAGAGTTTTTAAATAATTATTTTTAAACAGGAGCTTAAAAGCATCCATGGTTCTAACATAATGGCATGTATGTTTTTTTGGATGGTCAATGTCATGCACGCTTGGTATGTCAAATATTTAGAAGAGCACAATTTATGTATGGTCTTGTTTGGTATAAATTAAAATTTAAAATTTTAACTTAAGTTAAAGTCAACAATTTAATTTAACTGTATATTTCATATAATTCACAACTTTTTAATCACATATTTTATTAATTTTTATTAAAATTTATTAAATTTTTTATTTTAATCCTCCAAACAGGGGCATAATATTGGTTTTCAACTGACGTTGGACTTTATGCAATTTTTAAAGTCAAAAGAAAACTAATGTTTATTTTAATTCAATAATTATCTCAACATCATCAATGCCACTTTGAATGATTTTAACTATAGGTTAGAAAGTCTTTGTATACAGTTGCGGATTCAGCACCCGACAAGCACGGGTGATCGCGGAGCTCCCACGTTCAAATTGAAAGTCTTGGGATTGAATCTCTTTCAAACTAATTTATTGTGTAATTTTTTTAGTACTATAATTTTTACCAAAACTAATGGTATGTCAAATATTTAGAAGATCAAAATTTATATATAGCCTCGTTTTGTAGAAATTAAAATTTAGATTTTAACTTAAGTTAAAGTTAATAATTAATTATAATTGTACATTTCATATAATTCACAACTTTTATTTTTATCAATTTTTATTAAAATTTATTAAAATTTTTATTTTAATCTTACAAACGCGAGTGTAATATTTGTTTTCAACGTCAGTTGGACTTTATGCAATTTTTAAAGTCAAAAACAAACTATTGTTTATTTTAATTCAATAATAAGGTGAGTTTATCTCGTTGAGATTGTACAATGTAATTATCTCAACATCATCAATGCCACTTTGAAAGATTTTAACTTTAGGTTGGAAAGTCTATGTATATAGTGACAGATTCAGCACCCAACGAACACTAATGATCGCGTGTGCTAAATTCGTCAGGAACAATTTTTTTGTTAATAATAAATAAAATTTTTAGGTTATACATCTGGTAATTCATCTTATTTTTAAAACATTTCTTATAACTCAGTTGGTTAGAGCCTTTACAACCAAATTGGTAATCTTGGGATCGAATATCTCTCAAATTAATTTATTGTGCAATTTTGATCAAAACTAATGCAATAGGGAGGGAATTCAAACATATGAGCCATCTTTAAGATTATCAAAAGATTGATCATCATGACACTTGTTGAATTTTGACACTAAAGGTAATAGAATAATAAATGTTCAATTTTAACGATTTTAATACAATTGGAAAAATTCGAACACGTACATTTCCTGTGCATTATACAAAATTTGGCCACTATGTCATTTGATGAATATTGTTAATATATATATAATAGAATTATATATGTTTAATTTTAGCAAAATAATTATTATATTTAATTTTTAACATTTTATTGTTGTCGAAGGTCAATGACCGTTGTACTCACTCAAAATCTTGAATCCACCGCTGTTTGTATACATAGAAGATGTCAAGTAGTAAAATATGATAAAAAGCATATACGCAATTTGACGATACGAAACTTGATTTAGATGTTGTTTGAGAGAGATTTTTTTCAAAATTTGTCAAATCCATTATTAACCATACATTATATATGGTTAATAATCCGATTTTAATTTCTACCGAACACGCCCTATATATATAATTTTTCTCTTGAACCAATAGTCTTTTCTTTTTTTATTCGTAGCAGCACGTATAATTTTTCTCTTGAACCAATAATCTTCTTTTTTTTTTTTATAAATTTGTAACAACACGTTCTAAAAAATATTTATTTCCCAAAAAAAAAAAAAAAAAATCTCCTTCAAACAAACGTTTAAAAAGTGACACGAATGAAAGAAAAATATGATACTCTTGATCTCAATACTAATGTTCATATAAAATTGATATCAAAATTTGAAAATCTCAATTATTTACAAGAGCTTGTTTGGTAAAGATTAAAATCGGATTAAAATTGAAAAATTAATCGTTATTGTTGATTTTTATTAGACGAGTGAGATCCAATAATGACTATATTTTTAATTTTAATTGGATTTTAATTCCTCGCGAGTATGAAAGAATGATGACGTGTCCGCGTTTCCACTTCACACCCTCACACCCTCACTGTGTGTTTCCACGTGTCTTTGATTTCTTCATTTACTATAGTGTATCTAAAGAACGTCACTAAATAGTTGCATCATACTGAGAATTTGTTAGATTTTGAGCTCTGTTCTTCTCTGCACCGGGAAATTTGAGGTAATTTTTTTCCAAGCGTTGCTTATTTTTTCTGAAATTGATAATTCCCGTGGCTTAAGTACTTTTTAGTTATGATTTCGCATTTAAAAAATAAAATATTTCATCTTTCGGAGTTGGTGCAACCTCTGTTGTATAATGAATAGGGTTGGGGGTCAATTTCAGGGAGAATCGGTCCCTTGAATTCGACCTCCTCTGTTGTAATGGAGTACATGGGTCAATTTCAAGGGACATTTTCTTGATTTGGGGATTCTTATACTTCAATCTTTATTGTAAGTACAAATAATTTCGAATTTATATTTGTAGCAGAATGGAGTTTGTAATTGAGAAAGTTGATCGATTTGAAGCAAAGGCTACACAGGCCAGCACATTAGCTTCAATTGATTTAATCCTTGGCGGGCTGGACAATGAACATAAGAAGATGTTCAGAGCTTCTTGCTTTGGGCAATTTGTTGGAATGAGACGCATTAAGTTCTCTGGTCAACTTATACACCAGTTGCTGAATAGGCTAGTTAAGTGTGACAAGGAGGATGAGCTATGGTTTTGTTTCAGAGACAAGCCGGCTAGGTTTTCATTGAAAGAATGGGCCCTAATAACTGGCCTAAATTGTGGAACTGGTGCAGACGCCAAGCATATGGAATATGTTAGACGAACAAACAGGTTGTTATATCATTATTTCGAGGGCAAGAGCCACATCACTACAAAGGAGTTGGAAGTTGCATTTGCCAAATGTCAAGACATGAGAGATAAATTCAAACTAGGATTAGTACTTTTTTTGGAGTCTGTGTTATATTGCCCGGATAGGAGAGGATCAATTCAGCTAGCTTCATTGTCAATAGTAGAAGATCTTGATTTGTTTTACAGTTGTCCATGGGGGAAAGAGAGCTTCCGCCGCACTATTGCAACATTCAAGAGAGATTGGAGAGGAAAAAGTAAGGAATTGAAGATCAACCCTAAGCCAAGCCGTTTCAAGTATTCCTTACATGGCTTTCCACTTGCATTGCAGGTAAAACTTTTAACCAATTTAATTGTAATGACTCTTAAATTTGAGAATAATTTTTTTAATCTTGTGAAGGTTTGGGCATACGAGGCAATGCCACATGTAGGACGTCAGTTTGCTTCAAAATTTCAACATAAAGTCCCAAGGATGGTTTGTTGGGACGCAACAATTGCTCCTACATCTTCTGAGATTAATGATGTTCTAAACCAGCGGAAAGTGAGTACCTATTGAATTTATTTATACTATTTGTTTCCATTTTTAAAAATCCTTATCAGATTCCTATTTTTCTGAGATTCTGCAGCTTATTGTTTATTGCATCATAAGGCCAACTGACGAGGAGAATTCTGAACAATATATGAGAGATTTCAGTCCATTTGAAAGCGAATCACGTGATCGGAGATTTGATGAAATTATTGATAATTTGGACAATTACATGCCCCCTGGTTTTAAAACTCCAATAGAGTTAGACGTAGATGGTATGGCGGGGCATTCTGCCTGTGAAGCAAATTTGGGGGATATGGAGGGGTCTGCAACACATGAAACACCAAGATTTTCTCCAAGACATCGATATGCTTGGTCAGATGAGGGGACATCACATATTCACCAGCCTAGAGGTGGCTTTCTCACTCATATAGAGTTCAATCAACGAGTATCACAGATTGAGAAGAGGTTTGCATCTGTAGAGAAACAGATTTCGAAGGAGATTGATAGTGTGCGATCTTATTGTGGAGTTATAGAGAAAAAGATTGACACGGTAATAGAGCTGCTTCAAAATGCTAACATGTCCAGTGGCTCCAGACATCAGAGTAGATATGAACATCACAGTGGTTTTGAGCATCGGGGTGGAAATGAGCATCACAATAGCTTTAAGCATCAGAGTGCATATGAGGATGAAGTTGGCTTTGAGCACAACAGACCATCTACTTCAATGTTTGACAACCCAATGTTAGATGTATATCCATCAGATGTGCAATCACAATACAAACATGTGAAGAGTTTGATTCATCAGCAACAGTCGATGAAAGTAGACTCGACCAGTGTATGTACCCCCAACAGTCTCATGTATTCTAGGGAAGCAGACTTCTTCGACCATGATGGACAAGAGATATGTTGGCCGGAAGGACAAGGTTTACAAAACAAGAAACGGTCAACCTACCTTCTATCTCTTCATTCGATTCCATCGAAGCGGAAAAAAATTGAAGAGGGGTATAGCTTTGACCCATTTCAAGTGGTTGATCCATTGAATACCAATGACTTCCTATGTTGGCAAGCACAACCAAGGTGACAAGTTTCTAATTGCCTGAGCTTGTTTATGTATAGCAGTCTTAATAGTAAGTTGCTTAAATTTTATTATTTTTATATGAATGCAGCCAAGGAGTTGATTTAAAATTGGTGAAATGCAATAAGAAATTATACGGAGATATACTAACAAGTGGTGGGTGGTTAGTTAACAAGGTAAGGAGTTTCCACGTATTGAATAGCGTATGACACATATAATTGGCAAATTTGGAATGTTATTTACAAAGTTTCATATTGATGTGTTAATGTGAAAACCATAGTCCTTAAAAAGCAAAAAAATTATCCAAATGTGAAAATTTGCTACAATTACACACTCTTTCCAAACCTCCGAGTACACTATACAAAATACATACTAGGTGAGTCTACAAATGATCTTCTAGTCCCACACCAAGATAGTCCACAACTATCTCAACCCTGAAATGGAGAAAATATAAGGGGGAAGTCTCCTGTTACATGTGCACAGAAGAGGCTAGCTACCTATTCCTCTTTGGTGTAGGAAACAAATAAACCAACTCTTATAACACAGGACAAACAAAGTAATTCATATTCTGAATGTGACAATATAATTTCAATTCTTATTCTATGTAGGATAATACGAAGATATAAGTGCTTATTCATTGATTTTCTTGACGTTTTTCTTCAATAAGTTTGTGGTAGTCGAGGCCATTACCTCCAGTAATTTGATGTGCAGGAAGTTGGTTTATATTAGCTATTTGGATACATTGGATTGACGGTTGAGGAAAAGTGTTAAAGATAATCAAGAGGAAAATACTAGAAAGGGAATTCAATTTGGCTTTCCATGAACTTGAAATCAGATTTGAACGTGTTTGTAATTTGGATGGTGGAAAAGAAGAAGAAAGACAGTGAATTTGTGAATGTAGAGATTCAAACAAATTCATTTGGTTTCGAAGGTAGCAAACCTGCTTAAGGATGTGGGTTTTGTGGAATCAAATGGAGGTGGTAAAGTGCACATGAAATGTGAATTGTTGAGGCTGGGATGGGGAGGAAGTGGCTAATGAGAAGTTTAATAAGAAGAGGGTTGTTAACATTGAAATAGAGGAGGTAGTATTTTGATTAAAAGAGAAGTGACACTGAGGCAGGCGAAGATGAAGACATGGAAATGGATTTGAGGGTGGTTGGTGAAGATTGCACCCATAGGTCAACTTTTAAGTCTTGATTGTACGAAAATCAGTTTAAACCAACTTATGATCATTTACGAATGAGAAAACACTTCTATATTTCTTGCACGCTGCCTGAATTGGCATTAAAAGCAGCGACTTATTTAAATTGACCCATGAATGAACAAAAATACACCAAACATATTTATGGGTAATAGGTGCTCAGCCTTAGGTGTTTCTTGAGACTCTAGAAGTCAATTGAAACTCAAGGAAAAAGTGTTATTTTTTCTATGTAACCGTGATAGTTATTCAGCTGTCTTATGATATATATATGTTCACAGACACGAAAAAAAAAAAAAAAATCCTTTAATTTATGCATCGACTGTTTTTAACTTGACTCCTCTCTTTCCAGCATACTTTCTTCTCCACAAAATCTACAAAATCTGTTGCTTTCGCAAATTCTTCTATGACCGTACTTAACTAATTGTCCTTTGTATTCAGATCTACGTTTTATTATGGTTTGAAATTTTTTTTTCCTTTGAGATGGCATAAAAAGGAGCTGCACAAAGGCATCGACTTATAGGATTATTACAGCGACAACTTTTTGTTTTCTAATGTTAATTGCATATTCAATTTTGCGAATATATGTGTAAATTGTATCATCTTTCACCATTATGATCGAACTTATGGAAGATATATACATCCAGACATTACTTGATTCGATCAATTTCTATTCTGTGCAGAAGAAGCAAAAAATGTATCCAAGTATGTATAGTGATAAAAATGGGTCTGGAAGATTACGACGCAGCCAGAGGCTCCTTTCTGTGAAGGATTCTTCTAGCAAGGAATGGGAACAAATTGATTTGGAGTCATCATCTTCCGATTCTCGACTTGATGAGGATCATTCTGATACACAGTTTGATTCCGCATCAGATTCTGCTGGCTTATGTAGCAATCATTGTACTCGAATTCCTATAGGTCCACTTTTTCAAGCAGATGTACCAGAATCATGTGGAGAGGCTAACGAAAGTGATTCTAAATGGATAGGTACCTTAATTTGGCCACTGGAGAAAGTAGAAGTAAACCAAACCTTAATTGAGGGGGATTCTGTTGGAAAAGGTAGACAGGAATCCTGTTGCTGCCAGTCTCCAGGCTCTGTTGAATGTGTGAGGTTCCATGTGGGTGAGAAAAGGACGATGGTGAAGCTGGAGTTAGGCTCTGCTTATTATGGATGGAAATTTGATAGCGTGGGTGAGGAAGTTGCACTTTCTTGGACAAAAGAAGATGAAAACAAATTTCAGCATATAGTGAAGTCGAGACCTTCCTCTGTGTATTTCTGGGATGAACTTTTCCACGTCCTTCCTTGCAAAGGCAGGGAATCATTGGTGAGCTACTACTACAATGTTTTTCTTCTTCAGCACAGAGGTTATCAGAATAGGACTTCTATGAGTAATATTGACAGTGAGGATGAGGAATCAGAATTTGGACCAGTACGTAAGATCTGGACAAATGGCTGCTGAATCCCCAAATAATTCTCATTTAAGTATCAGATAGGTGCCTGAAAGGTGGTTTAGCTTTGGGAGGCTATATTAAAACATGTAAATAGTAGAAGTTTTTCAGTTGGAGCAGTGTTTTCTTTCACTGAGACCAACCAAAATCGTGATCCAGTTGCAACTTTACGTTGGAGACTCAGACAGAGTGTTGCATGATTAGGAAATTTAGTCGAAGGTGCAATTTTGGTGCTAATCTGCCTGTCGTGGGTTCTTTTTGTATTTCTCAACACTACACTTGTCCTCGCATTGTGAATATCAACTGATGATTTTGGTATGTGCTAGCATTTCTTATGTAACGTCCCGAGTTCCGTGAACCCGGATTGCCACGTCATATTCTTTTGTAACCGATTTAACTAACAAGATTTGTGGAAAATAACTAAATTTCAAATTTCGCATTTATAACGGCAAAAAGCCTCGAAAACAACAAAACTCATTTAATTAACTTAAGGAATTTGATTAAATTTTAAATATCGAGTTTTGGAAATACTGAAATAACGAGTACGTTAATAGCGTTCAAATACGAAATTTTTTTAAAATGTAAATAACTGAATTCATTAAATCGTTGCCACATTGCCCATCAAACTCGACCGTCTCCAAAATCTGCAAATATGGTTAAAATAACGGAATGAGTATTTCGAGGAAATACTCAGTAGACTCATCGCCGATAATTAATTTACAGAATAATTGAACACGTAATCATGCAATTCATATCGTGACATCATCATAGACTCATGTTCTTGAAAATCATAGACTCTTTAAAAACATAGAGTGTGGGTAGTCTCGTCTCGTGCATTGAAGCACATAAGTTATGCACAACATTCTCATCTTATCTCATAAGAGATTCTCGTCTTCTTCTCATGCAATAAAACATATAAGTTATGGCAATCATAATAATATCATATATCTCATATGTCATAATTCTCATCTCATGTAATTAAGCATATAAATCACGTAAATTCACATAATACATTCAATTATAATTTAAACTAATTAATGGTGGCGAATCTACCTCAAATTATCTCAAGTTGCGTGAAAAGTGGAACGATGAGTAATCTCAATCTCCTAATCGTCCGTACGTTTCGTCTAGCCAAAATAAAAATTAGGTTTGAATTAGTATTTTGAAACTTTAAAGTTTTAAAGCGATAAATTAAAATTTAGGGACCTAATTGGATATTTATTAAAATTGAATTTGACAAATTTAAGAGCTGAAAATACTATTCTCAAAGTATTTGGGCTAAATGTGAAAAATAGGAACTCTAGGGATTTAATTGGAAACTATTGAAACTGAAAATAAAAGTTTAAGGGCTGAAATTGAACTTTTAGAAGTTAGGGACTAAACTGTAAATCTATAAAACTGAAAATAAAAGTTTAGGGGCTGAAATGATAACTTTTACAAGTTAGGGACTAATATGTAAATATATTAAAACTGAAAATAAAACTAGAAGGACTGAAATTAAACATTTTAAGAATTAGGGACTAAATTGAACATTTTCTAAAACTGAAAATAAAATTAAAGAACTGAAATTAAAAATACTTAAAACTTAAAGACTTAAATAACAACTTTAAAAATGTGGGGGCTAGGGGATAAATTTCTAAAATCAAAATATTTAATAAAATAAACATTCCTCTCTCTCTCTTTCTCTCTTTCTCTCTCTCTCTCTCTCTTTCTCTCGCTCGAGAGAGAGAGAGAGAGAGGCGACGGGAAGGAGTTCTGTCCCTTCCGTCGATTCGACCTCCGGCCAGTAGGCCGTCGTTGGCGTCACCCTCACGTGGCGACGTTGGTGCTTTGTGGGAGGGTATGGGGTTTTGGTGCTCAAATTTGGGAGTTAATCCGAGGCTTGGAGGTTCGATTTGAGCTTCTTTGTGGCAATAAAAAGGACGAACAATAAGGTAAGTCTTTGGGTCTCCCTAGTTCTTGATTTTTGTGGTGATTTAAATGGATTTTGGGTGACAGAGGGCTGTCGATTTTTTTGGAGGGAGTTGCGGTTTCGATGGTGGCTGTGGTGGTGCCTTCGGGGTGGCGTAGTGGGTTTGATTGTGGGGGTGTTGCAGGTGGTTGTCGAGTGGTTGCATTTCGGTGGTTCGATGATTTTGGTGAGGTTGAAGTTTGGGTGACTGGCTATTGGCTGAGATCTCGTTTTTGGAGCTTGGTGGTTTGGGCAGTGGAGTTGGTGAGCTTGGTGGCGGTTTTGGTGATGAGGTTGATGGAGTTGGAGGCTGCAGCTTGGGTTTTGGTGTTGGTCTCGTGGGTGAGCTTGGTAGTTTTAGGTGGGGCTGTTGGTGGTGTTGCTAGTGATTGTGTTAGGCAGTGTTGGTTGGTGAAGCTGGGGAGGATTTTAATGGTTGTGGATTTCCAGCTTGTTGATGCTAGAAATTGTTCTAGCATCAACGTGAGCTGAGATTGTTGTTGATGTTAGAAATTGATGTTCTACCATCAAACTAGAATTTCCAAAATGAGGGAGAGGGGAGAAATTCTTACCGCAAATGTTGGTCTCGTGAGGTGAGGAGTGGAGGGAAATAAAATAGTAAATTTTAGGGCACAATTTCCTAGGTAACAATTAGGCCAAATAGTTGGGCCTAGCATTTGGGCTGTAGGGTTTTCCAATTGGGTTTAGGTGGATTGGACTATTGAAATTCGACTTAATTGAAATAGGCTGAATAAATTGGATTCTAAAAAGTAAAATTATGGTACTTATAATTATTCGAAAATGAATTCGATTCGAAAATTTAAATTCGTTTATAACGGCTAGACGAACGCGTTTTCACTTTAACGTTAGGGTTTAAAATTTAGCGACACATTTTTCGAGAAAAATAATTTTATAAAATTTAAAATTCTTGGTTGCTACAACTTTACTCCCTTAAAATAATTTCGTCCTCGAAATTTAAACTTACTTGATCTAGAATATCTGGATACTTAACCAGAATCTCATCCTCTCTTTCCCAGGTAGCTTTATCGCTACCCTGTCTACCCCATTGGACTTTGACTAAAGGAACCTCTTTATTTATTAAGACATGGACTTTTCTCTCTACAATGCACATAGGCGTTTCCTCATAAGACAGATTCCTCTAAATCGAAATAGTCTAAAAATTTATCACATGACTCGGGTCGTGGATATATTTCCTCAGTAAAGAAACGTGAAAAACATTGTGTACGGCCGAGAGCTCGGGTGGTAACGCCAAACGATAAGCCACGTTACCCACTTTCTCTAGGATTTCGAATGGTTCGATGAAACGAGGTCTTAACTTCCCTCTCTTGCATAAGCGAATAGTTCCTTTCATAGGAGCAACTTTCAAAATATTTTCTCTCCAATTTCAAACTCTAAGCCTTTTCTCCTTTGATTGGCATAGCTTTTTAGTCTATCTTGGGCGGTTTTGATTCGTAATCTGATCTTCTCAATAGCCTCAACCGTCTTCTCAATCAATTCTGGACCTAAAATTCTTCTCTCGCCTACTTCATCCCAATAGACTCGTGATCGACAACGTCGTCCATATAATGCCTCATATGGTGCCATACCAATAGTATCCTGAAAGCTGTTATTGTAGGAAAACTCCACTAATGGAAGATGAGTCTCCTAACTCCCACTCAAGTCCAGTACACAAGCTCTAAGCATATCTTCCAGTGTTTGAATAGTGCGTTCAAACTGTCCATCTATTTGGGGATGGTAAGCTGTACTAAAATTTAATTTAGTACCCATTACGACATGTAGACTCTTCCAAAATCTCGAAGTAAATCTCGGATCTCTATCTGAGACAATGGAAGCTGGTACTCCATGAAGTCGAACAATCTCTCTAACATACAACTAGGCTAACTGATCTATATTGAGAGTCATTCTGACTGGTAGGAAATGAGCTGACTTCGTAAGTCGATCTACAATAACCCAAGTAGCGTCTGATTTTGGCAATCCTGTCACAAAATCTATGGAAATTTTCTCCCATTTCCATTCTGGTATATCCAAGGGATTTAACAACCCTGATGGTCTCTGATGTTCAGCCTTGACTTGCTGACATGTCATGCATCGAGAGACAAACTTTGCAATGCAACCCTTCATGTTTCTTCACCAAAAAGTATTGCGTAAATCACGATATATCTTCGTCCCTCCTGGATGGCATGCATATAGTGCTGAATGAGCTTCTATCAAAATCTCATTCCTGATATGGTCATCCTTTGGTACACAGAGACGCCATTTGAACATAAGTGCTTTATCAGAGGCAATCTCGAAACCTATTCTCTTGCCAGTCCCAACTTCGAATATGATCTTTTCCAAGAATTTATCTCCGACTTGAGCTCTTACAATTCGATTTCTCAAGTCTGGTTTAACGATCAGATTTGCCAATCTATAAGATCCTTGGACTGATGGGGCTCACACTTCGATTCTTAAATTCTGAAAATCTCGAATCAACTGATCCTGCATCGTTCCCAAAGCTGATAACTGTCCAGCGTTCTTTCTGCTCAAAGCGTCTGCAACTTTATTTGCCTTACCTGGGTGGTAAAGAATGGTGCAGTCATAGTTTTTTACCAGTTCTAGCCATCGTCGTTGTCTCATGTTTAGTTCCTTCTGAGTGAAGAAATACTTGAGACTCTTATGATCGGTGTAAATCTCACATTTACTCCCGTACAGATAGTGTCGCCAAATCTTAAGTTCGTGCGCAACATCTGCGAGCTCTAAATCATGTGTCGGGTAATTCTTCTCATGTGGCTTCAACTGTCTTGAAACATATGTTATCACTTTGCCATTCTGCATCAATACGCAACCTAAACCATGTTTGGATGCATCGCTGTAAATAACGAAACCATCAGACCCATCAGGTATAGTCAGCATTGGTGCTGAGACGAGTATGTTCTTAAGTTTCTGAAAGCTTTGTTCACATGGTTCTGTCCACTGAAACTTAACTCCTTTCCTGGTCAGCTGCGTCATAGGACCTGCTATTTTAGAGAAACCCTCTATGAATCGTCGATAATATCCAGC